TATATATAAATATATATAGAACTGTGTATAAAGGTGTGTAAACATAGAAGCGAAATATCATATATATGTACAAATATGATGACATAACAATGTTGATTTAATGACTGTAAGGTGTTGTAGAAGGGGAAAAAAATCTGCTAATGATAAAAAAAAAATCCATGCAGACAAATCTCTCTTTTTTAAAGATTCACATATAAAAGATAATATGTTTCTAAAAGTTGTATCTAAAAAGCAACAGTTTTGATAATTTTTGAAGTTTTGCAGATTTAGAGAAAATTAAATATAAAAGTTGTTATATATTAGGGAGAGCTATGAATGAAGATTTGTAATGGTAACTGGGAAATTACCCTAATAATGCAGAGAGAAAATGAATTAATTTTATACTGAACCTTATCATTGTCCTTATCATCATTATTATATATAAATTGTTACAATAATTATCTTCTTTTATTGCCTCTTAAGATAGTTTCTCATGCTCTCTCTATTCCTGTTGAACCCATTCTACTTAAAATTCATTCAGTGGCTAAGAAAATGGACAGACTGGGGGACACATTCATGGCGCCATACTTGATATATCAGTTGCAATCTTTCAATTATGTTTTCACTCTTAAATCTAAAGGTTTCCTTGAATGATATGGAGGGTTGTGTCTAAGTTCACTTGGTAGAAAGATAAAATGGAATTCATAGGTATTATCCTGTCATACCCAACTGTGAGTTTCTGTATTGGAAGCACAGAAGCAGGCATTGTCAAATTGTTGAGAGGCAGATGTGCTGTGAAGCAGGCCTGTCAAACTGGCGGCCCACGGGCCGGATGCGTCACATGCAGACCACACCCACCCCACATCCGCAAAGGCAAAAAACATTGTGATAAGTCATGATACATCATGTGACGTGATCAAGTTTGACACTAGAGGGAAATGAAAGAGTTTGAATGCTAAACATGTCTCTTGTTCCATTTAGACAAAATAGCAATTCCAGATTTTGGCACGGGGGCCATGGAAAACTGGGGGCTGATCACTTACAGAGAAACTAATCTCCTTTACGATTCACAAGAATCTGCTGCTTCAAACAAGCAAAGAGTGGCAGCTGTGGTTGCCCATGAACTTGTCCATCAGGTATAGTTTGTTTATTTATTTATTTATTAAATGTATATGCCACCCCTCTCACTATGCAAAGCGCCTCTGGAGATTTACTGAATATTGTTGTCAACATGAAACTAAAGTACATTATTATATTTAAGGAAATTATAATGTGCTTAACCTACAAATCATTTTTGACAGGAATTTTATCTGTTTCCTTCTGAGTTATAAAATAATTAGGTTAATTTGATGTTTCGGATACATATTTCACAAACAGGTTTTACCTCATCCTTTATCAATATTTTATTTTTAGATGGGGTTTACTGTTGGCAGCTGCTATAGCATAAAACTGTAGCTATTCTTCAGTCTCTGTATTATTCAGCATACATAAATCATGCTAAATTGTAAATGTTGTGCTATTTATAAGGACTCTTTTCTCTTGGCCTCTCTTCTCACAAAGGAAGGGAAAAGAAAAATGTGTGAAAAAATGACACTGATTTCAAAATCTCAACTTAGCAGCAGAATTTCTTCATCAAGATTGGTTGAAAGACAATGGCTTCCCAACAATATTTACAATACAAGCACTCATTAAAATTGCATCAAAATTAAAGTAAATTCTTATGTTTAACATATTCCATTTTCAGATAAATGTGCTCTGAGAGATCTCATCAGACTTTTAAAGGATAACATTTATGATCCAGTAATAAACATTGTGTTTTCAAAATTACAGTCTCTTTTAATACTGAAATATTTCTATCCACCTTTTGACAAAAGGCTTTCAAAGTAGGATATTTTAGCTAAGGGTTTTATTATCATTTTTAAATGGAAATGCATTTCAAAAGAGTGAATTGAGATGTCATTAAATCACTGAAAAGGAATCGTTTCCCAAACTGTTCAACCTGATGATATCTTGAGTAGTTCCCTTGCTTTGAGTTCTGACTGTGTTTTTTCAAATAAACCATTATTATAAATAGAGCTGCCAAGTTTCACTTGGTAATATGTATCTTCAATATATACCTGTATATACAAGTATTATTGTATTATTGTAAGATTAGAGAATTATGATTAATGTAACCAATATTGTAAACCTTGATTGTAATACCTATATAATATATATACTGCAAATATATTGAAAATGGAAACGAAAAAACCTAGGGCTGCTTATAGTTATATTTATTTAAACAAGATGTTCACAAAGATGGAAGACGAATATGTTGATTCCCATATGATAAATATTTATGCAAAGGCAATCAATATTTAACAAAACTAGCTGGAATCAGGCAAACATAAAGCTTCAATAATAAAGCACCATAATTATAGCTGCTCAACATATGGGCAAGTTACAACAGTTTAGATTAGTATTTGACAAGAGAAAGAGGACATTTTCATTTCAAATGATAGAGTTTTGCCACCCAAAATGTCCAGTTCTCAGTTATTATATATCTAAATGCAAAACGGAAACTCTTGGGGGGGGGGGGGCGGACTGGATTTTTTGAGCTGCAGTTTGTGTTGCCTTTGTGTTATTTTCCAGCAAAATGAGAAAATCTCTTGCACAATATGTAAATAGCTCATTTATGAATGATACATTTCTCTTCTAATTCATTTTCTTTTGTAATGCTGTTTGCTTATTTTTATTTTTTTTACTTATTACAGTGGTTTGGAAATATTGTGACCATGGATTGGTGGGATGACTTATGGCTCAATGAAGGATTTGCCAGTTTCTTTGAATTTATGGGTGTAAATGCTACAGAAGCAAATTGGCAAATGGTAAGAATTTCTCATCTTGGTATAATTATAAAATATGAACAAAGGCACCCCTGCTAAACATTAAGTATGGCTGCTCAACAGGCGATAGCTATTAGCTGACCTTATTTGAGTTATTTGAGTTCAAAAGCAAGACAACATAAGGTTTGGTTAGTGATTGAGAAATATTCAGGATCTCAGGGCTGTAGGCTAAATGAAACATCCTGGGGAAAAATACTGTTGAATTGCTGCCAAATAAAGTGAATTTTTTTAAAAATAAAACAGGAATTCA